CACTTTGACCACACAAAAGAGCCATGTATACATAAGCTCATCAAAAGGCAAATAAAAATGTTTGTGGCAAAAGCCCTAAAATAGAAACAACTCAAATGGCCATCATCAGGAGACTGGATCAACAAATTGTGATATATGCACACAATGAAATTTTATTCAGCAATGAAAATGAACAATCTATTGTAATGACATGGAAGAATCTTGCAAATATGATGTTGGGTGAACACTATATACTATATGACTCCACTTACATACTAAAATTCAAAAATAGGGAAATCTAATTGATAAATGTGAATGTCAGAACAGTGGTTACCTTTGGGATAGAGATAGTGACTGAAAAGGGGCCTCAGGTGGGGGATGTTTCAAGATACAGTAATGCTTTATTTCTTGATCTGGGTGATAGTTATAGGAATTGTTCACTTCGTGATAATTAGCCGAGCTGTACACTTATGATTTGTACACTTTTCTGTAGAAATGTCCAACTTCAATATAAAATTTACATTAAAACTCAGTAACTAAATATAATTAACTGCAAAAAAGCAATGACATTAAAATGTCTTCAGATGAATAGCTTGGAGTTGAGGCCCATGAAGTAAATTCCAAAATCTCAGGTTTTAGTGACTTGAAGTGGGCTTACTTAAGTTTATGACCATAAATTTCAGAAGGCTCTCAACACAGGTAATTTCCTTGTATTTTCTTAACCCATTCATGTTCCCTCCCAGGGACAATATTAACACCTTGTCTTCTTTTCCAAAATAACCAATACCCTTACAGCTGATGACCTCACCAGGTTCTTCACGAAGAAAATAGATATAATTGTATAAGAACACATCCTACCACCATCAGTTCACCAACTTACTTGCCTATCTGCCCATATCCTCCAAAAACCATGGATGGAAGGATGCTTTGATCCTTTCCCCTCTCAGCTTCTCAAGGTCTTCTATAATTATCCAATTCTCTCCCCAGCATGATCAATTGCCCCCCTCTGTGAAATCTAAATGTGCCGAAATATCAATACCTTTTAAGAAAATCTCCCTTGACCCTGTATTCCCCTCCAAGCAATGCTCCATTTCTCCACTCCCCTTCAGAGTAAACTCCTTAAAAGAGTTGTTTGTGGATGCTATCTTCTCTTCCACCTCTCTTGTTCTCTCTTCATCTTATTTGGCCTCCATTTCCACCTCTCCACTTAAATGGCACCTATCAGGACCATTGATTACTTACAAGTTACCAAATTCCATGGCCTTGTCTTAGTGCTTATCTTACTCTTGGAAGCATCTGACCAAGTTGATTTCTCCATTCTTGAAACACTTTCTCCTGGCTTCCATCAGACCATACTCTCCTGATTTTCCTTCTAGCTTGCTGGTTGCTTTTTCTAAGTCTTTCTCCTTCCCTACTAAACTTCCAAAGTTGGACTGCCCTAGGCTAAGTTCTGGTCACCTTTTCTTCATTCTCTACATTGCCCCTAGCTCCAAAGCTTCACATACCATCTCTATAATTACATCTCACATTTACCTTTCCAGTCAGGACCTCCTTCTTGGATTCTGAATTTACACGTCTAATAGTATAAGTCTCCAGTTAACATAGTACAAATACAAAAATATTGATTATATCCTCCCAAAATAAAATACCCACTCTTCCATTAGCCTTACCCATTTCTGGAAACTGTCTTCTACAAGCTAAGGGGGGGAAAACTAGGAGTCATCCACAGTGACTTTTTTCTTCTCACTCCATGTACAAATCCAATGAATAAATACTGTCAATCCTAGTTCCAAAATGAATTCAGAATCCAACCACTTTTCACTGTCTGCATAACTATCTCCTTAGTCCTAGCCACCATCACCTGTCATACTAACTGGTTTACCAGACTTCAGACTTGCCTCAAGAGTGACTTTAACTCTAACTGGCTTGGCTCAGTGGATAGAGCATCAGCCTGTGGACTCAAGGGTCCCAGGTTCGATTCCAGTCAAGGGTATGTACCTTGGTTTCAGGCACATACCCAGTAGAAGGTGTGCAGGAGGCAGCTGATCAATGTTTCTCTCTTATTGATGTTTCTAACTCTCTATCCCTCTCCCTTCCTCTCTGTAAAAAAATCAATAAAATTTATATATATATATGTGTGTATATATATATACACACACATATATATATAAATTATATATATATATATATATATATATTTAAGAGTGACTTTGCTAAAATATATGTCAGATCATGTCACCCCTGCAAACTGTCTTCCCTTTCCCACCCTGAGCCTGTCTCAGGACAATGGGAAGCAGCTGTCCAAGGATGAAACAACATGAAGCCATGTGGAATGGAGGTCCTGGTGGGAAGGCTATACAAAGAGGATGGAGTCACCCAGACACATTCAAAGGGAAAGGAAAGGGAATGTGGGTCACTTCCTTGAAATTCCCTTAGGCCATAAGCAATGCTAAAGGAAGATGCATAATGTAGCAGATAGAAGCCACTGATACTCTACCCATAGCCCTTCCCAAAGGACCCCTGCAGACATTCCTGTATCATCCCTAGGCTTTTCCTATCTCTCTACCTAGCCTAGCTCTAACCCTAATCCTAACATAGAGCAGGCCAAGAGAGCCAAGGAATTCATACTCCAGGTTCTACCTTCTCTCAGTGAGGGGTGAGAGTTGGCGGATAAATATTCCAGCTTCCTCACTCCTCAGTGGAACACTTCTGAGATATGTGCTGTTGTTGAACCAGGGTTGCCCACAAGCTCACACCTTGCATGAGCTTTCCTCCCTACACTGTCCCACTTCTATAAGCCTTCCCCATGCTTTCTGACTGCCCTCTGTAATGAACCACTTACACAGAAACCGTGGCATGCTGCCAACCCCCAACTATGACACACTACTAGTATTGTCCCTTTCCTTTCAAATTACCTGTCTGTATTGAGAGCCTTCTTGACATCAAACAAGAACAGTGTTCTCCTAAATTCATATGAACAAAAGAAGAGGGAGGTCTGTACATGAAGTGTGGAGATAATATTTTAGAAAAAAAATAAAAAGTAATATATTTTTACTTCTACCCCTGGAGTTATTTATTTATTAATGTATTAATATACATAGAGCATACTAGTATATTCACCATCGACTGTTCGTACACATTTAAAAAGTTTTCTTTTCTCTATTAACCATTAGTTTGTACTCCAAACAGTTAAAAGGACTTGAAAGGACTGTGTCAAGTCCCATATACCTAAGTACCCACTGCTGCCTCTATGGAAAGAGAGAAGGGGACCCAACCTGCCCCAGCACTTTATTTCACTTGTGAGAAATCTAATTTAAAGAGCAGTGTGTGTCACCACACACACACACACACACACACACACACACACACACACACACACACACACGGGAAATGTACGCACCACTCAACAGTCTGCAAGACTTCCCTCCAGTTCTTTTGAAGTAAAATCACCACTCACCCCAACCGCACTCCCCAGATATCAACGCTGTTGAAAGTGAAGGGGGCTGTCCCTGCTGTGTGGTTTGAGGTAAAAAGGGAGGCAGGATTAAAGTGCTCATTTCAAGTCCCAAAAGTAAAATACGACTTGGCCTAAGGCAGCCCTAATTCTTTCCAGAACTCATCCCCGGAATTGCCCTCTTAAACAACCAGTCATTAACCCAACTCTGGGTCTTTTATAGCTGCTAAAACCTATCGCGCACATCATTTATTCATTAGGCTTATTATTGTTGTTATTGCAGAAAAGCAGCGAATTCCCTGGGTGGGGTTCAAAGAGTTGTTGTTGTTGTTGTTGTTATTGTTGTTTTGGGGGGGGGGGCAATCTGCGAGCTGGGTTTCAGGGCAGAGGTTCCTGGAAAGGATGCAGAGAGAGCTCCCCCGCCCCACGTGCTCCAGGCCACCGCCACCGCGCCGGTGCAGCTGCTGCAGCAAAGCGGGAAGCTTCTTATGTAAGTCAGAGCCGCTGACATCACCTTCGCTGAGTGTTGCAGCGGGACTAGGCGCCCAAGGACCAGAGCACTGGCCTAGTGCCTCCTCCCACCTTCTGCTGTTCCTAAAAGGTTCCCTCTCAGCCTGATTTCACTGATCTTGCGCTAGGGGACCCTCCTGAGCGCCTCTCAGAGGGAAAATGCACAGAATGACACGTATTGGGAGCCTTAGGGTGTCTCAAGAGTGAAGTTAACAGGCAGCAAAGATGCTCAGGGGTCTGCCATGTGCCTGTGGATTTGGGCGACAGGACCTGGGTTTGGGGGCCGCCTCTGGGATCCTCGAAGAGCAGATAACACAGAGCGTTATTTATTAGGAACGTATGCTGCTCAGGGAAGAAGAGATGGCCAGGGGTCTCTCCGATCTCCCCAGGGCCCGTGATACTCCTCCCTCCACGGCCCTCCCTTGGCCTCTCTGGGCCACAAGGTTGGAGCGAAGTGCTTCAGAGTTCTTCTCTCCAGGAGGCAAGAGGCGCCATGCTACAAGGCACAGGAGCTCGAGGCACAAGTTCGGGGCTCCTTGCAGCCCTTGAGGTCACAGAAAGAGTGACAAAACCGTCCAGGCAAAGCAGGAGCCTTAAAAAGACACTCACTGCTCCTGGAGCCCCCAAGCACGAGTGGGGGTGGGGTCGGACTACAGGGCTCAGGTTGGGCCACTAAAAACCACATAAGTTGCACCAACCCCCGCCCCCCACCACCACCACCACGGGGAAGGGACAAGGAAGGTGATTACCAGAGGTGAATAACAGACCCCTCGGCCTCCTGTGCCGCCATCAACACCCCCTTTCAGCCCTTGGCTAGCTTTGAGTCCCTCCTGAGGCTGCCCCTTCAACTTTCTCCCCTCTGCTTCTGTATCCCTGCAAACTCCCAGCACCTGGAGGACCTGGGTGGGTCCCAGGGGAAGGAAGGGGTGGCGAGGCAGGACTAAGGTGCGAGCTGCAGTGGGCGCGGCGCCTCGGGGCTGGGATTGCGGTGGCCGGGGAGGGCAGGCGGAGGGTGCGGCGCGGGAGCGGAGCGCCGGCTGGAGGCGCGGATACTCACGCACGGTCTCCTGCTTGGGGTCCAGCGTGCCGAGGACGCGCTGCACGCCGCCGAGCTTGCCCTGCAGGGCCCAGACGCGGCGGTGGGTCAGCTGGATGTCGCTCTCGAGCTCCTGGAACAGGCTGCACGCGTGCCGGGCCACGTCCGAGAGCTGCCGGAGGACCCGGGCCAGCGCGGCGTTGTTGACCGCGCACAGGTCCAGCATGAGCAGCACGGCCGCCGCAGCCGCCGAGGGCGCCTCGCCCGCCCCGGCCGCTGCCTCCGGGGGCCCCGCGGCGCTCTCCTCGCCCGCCGCGGTTACCTCTCCGAGGGGCGGCTGCGCCTGGTCGGTCGGAGCGGGCAGCGGGGGTGGTGGCGGCCCGGAAGGTGCAGGGGGCTCCCGGGGAGGATCCTCCGGCCCCGGCTCCACGGCCTGGTCCCTCTGGCTGGGCGGCTGCAGGGGCGGCGGCGGCTCTGCGCTGCCTCCGCTCGCCTCCTCCGCCGGGCCGGGCGGCGGGCGCCGCTGCCGGCACAGCCACTGCGGCTCCACGATCCGCTTGGCGAAAGGCATCCCGCGCCGCCGGGCTGAGACTTTCTGGTCTCCCCAAAGCGCCCCCTTGCAAGCTGGGGGCCGGGCGCGCCCACCTGGGCGCACAGGGGCAGGAGTAGGCGCGCTGGGGCAGTCCGGGTACGCGGGGGTCTGTCTCCTCAGTTCACCTGGCGTCCTCCTCTCCCCGCCCTCCCGCTAGCAAATCGGGGTACCCGGTTCTCCTCCTCCGGGTGCAAGCTCCAGGGGAGGATGACAAGCGTGGGTCCTAGAAATCCTGGGGTGCGCCCGGGCTCTGCTCACTTGCTTCCAACCCGGGTCAGCTGGCTCAGCTCCATCATTCTGGCGCTCGCCACCACCGCCCCGGCCGCCGCCGCCGCCACCGCCTATATAAATGGGCGTGTGTGTGTGTGTGTGTGTGTGTGTGTGTGTGTGTGTGTGTACGCGCGCGCGCGCGCGCGCGCGCGCGCGTGTGTCTGGGTGGGTGGGTGTGAGTGTGTGCGCGCCTCAGTTTGAAAGTACCCCGACGCAGGCCTCTCCCCGCGCGCCCTTTGGCCGCTCCTGGGAGCTATCGCGCCCAAGCTCTCTCCCTCTCTGGGCCAGGAGGAGGTTTCAGAGAGGCGCTTTGAAAACCCGGAGAGAGGAATCCGCCTCCAGCCCCGGCGCAGGAGGCGGCGCGGGGGCGGCGGGGCCGACGCAGGGCGGGGGGTGGGGGTGGGGGAGTCCAGGGCCAGAGGGGCGCAGCGCCCCGTGTGACCGCTGGGAGTCACTGGTGGCCTCACGGGGCGTGTGCCGAAGCAAAAACACTCCCTCGAATCCAAGGGGGTTAGGATTGAGACCATCAGCATGGCAGGGCAGGGAATCCTCAAGTTGGGGTTGGATGCGGGTACAAAACGCAGAGGTAGAGGGGTGGGGTACTGGGGGTGCAGTAGATCCAGCATGTTGAAGCAAGTTGCCTCACCGAATTCCAGCTCTGGGCAAGTCCTTTGGGTTCTTAGCAGGGAAAGCCAGGCGGCCCCTAAGAGTGCCCTGGGCTCTGTGAGCCCAGTGAGACAGCTGGGAAGGATGACCAGGCATGGGTGCACCCCAATGCAGCCACAGTGGGCCGGGGTGCCATTTATATCCCCTGCCCAAGCTTCACTGGGCCAGGTCTCTACAGAACATCATGAATGAGACCCAAACCACCAATGAGCAAACCAAACCCTTCAGAAAACTGCTTGCAAAACGCACTGACGTGTTAGCTGACATAACTAGGATTACCTTTCTGTCACCCTACTGCGCTGATCACACACAGGGTTTTTTAAGTCCTCCATCAGAGAGATGATGATTCACAGAAGAAACTTTTCCTCTTCAGTTAACTGGAAGGTATAATTTCGAAAAAGCCATGTATTTCTATGGCAGCAGACTGGATACCGTCAGCCTAAAACGTTTGTAAAATGAGTATGGGAAATGTTAATAAAATATATGCTTTCATCCCTCCAAAAAGAATACTGTAAAAGTTTTTTTTTTTTTTTTTAAAGCCAGAAGCCAAATCTTGGGAATGCAGCCTTTATTTCATGTGTCTAAAGAGAACAAGAGGGGAAAATGTTTTATGGCAACAATAAAGTCCTCCAGACCTGTGGTAGTGTCTCCTCTCCTCACTCTTGCTTTAGCAGAGCCAGCACAGGGCCCAACAATCAGCTCTTCGGACTGGCCCACACTTTAGTTATAAAAGCTTCAACAGACCCTTCTCTTATTCTACCTAAAAAAGTAAGATGTTTGGCAAGAGAATGTCCTTGTTCCTCAAAGATCCAGGCTAGGGGTAAAAGGGTCATGATGTCTACAAGATACACATAAATGTTTCAGTACCAATGACAAGAATAATTATAATAACAATAATGTATAGGTAGAGAGAGAGAAGAAGAAGAAAATACAGCCAAATGTGCAAAATCGTGCGTCTAAGTAAAGGGCATATTGGGATTCGTCATCCATTTCTTGCAACTTTAAATTTGGTTTGGTTTCCAAATAAAAAGTGAAAGAAAGAAGACTTTGGGAAAAGATCTTTTTGGAGTTGTTCTTTATCTCACAAGATTTAAAAAGTTTAGGGCTGGCTGTTTTCAAATTTAGCTTGACTTTTTAATATATTCGAGATTCTCAACATGAGCTCTGCTAGGTAGCCAAGCCACACACTCCTCCCTAAATATATTGAGATAAAAAGAAGAAGAAGAAGAAGAAGAAGAAGAAGGAGAAGAAGAAGAAGAAGAAGAAGAAGAAGAAGAAGAAGAAGAAGAAGAAGAAGAAGGTTGTTAAAGGCATCCCATTAGCAAGGCTGCCCTGCCTCTCATTCCTCCTCTCACAGCACTGTCCTACTAATAGCATTCAAGGGTCCTGTGGAAGGGGTGCAGCTGGACTCTGACATAGGCAATGAGTGGTGGTGAGTTCTCGCTTCCAATTATTGGCAGATTCCTTCCTGGGCCCCAGAGCCCCCATCCACCCAGAGAGGTGATTGAAGGGGTGGGGCAGTCCTCCTCCATGCCCAGGAGGTAGAGGATTCTATGGGGTAATTAAGTTTAAGAAAAGGCCCCAAGACCCACCTCAAGATTTCAAAATGATTCAAAGCACAGTTCAGCTATGCAAAAAGGACAATTCTTTGTAATCACTTAGACTTCTAGACACATCCCAGTAAAGCCATTTTGCTCAAATAAACTTTGATTTTACTTTTTGATCTCCTTTATTCTCACCACCCCCCCCCCCCCCATACACACACACACCTTTGGTAGTCTCTGGTGACCTAAGGTCACTTTATTTTTTCTTTTTGACTTTGAAAGATAGCTTCCTTCAGAGTCACAAAAGAAAAACTAATAAAAAGGAAAAATACGTTGATATGGTTGGTTGATATTTCTCAGTCAACTGTAAGGTATGAATAAAGGCACCTTTAAAAATGTGATTGTTGCCCTAACTCAGTGGTCGGCTCAGTGGATAGAGCATCGGCCTGCAGACTGAAGGGTCCAAGGTTCGATTCCAGACAGAGGCATGTACCTTGGTTGTGGGCACATCCCCAGTAGCGGGTGTGCAGGAGGCAGCTGATTGATGTTTCTAACTCTCTATCCCTCTCCCTTCCTCTTTTTAAAAATATCAATAAAATATATATATTTTTTAAATGTGACTGTTATACACCCAGAACACCATCTTAACAAGAAATGCATGCTACTATGCAAGGGCAACTTCAGGACAGTCTCCTGACTTCACTGTATCCCTTCCAACTTCAAGCCCCTCCTATGTGGCTTACCCCACACACACACACACACACACATGCATATTTTAGTTTGGTTCCTACCTTATAGAACTGAAATCAACAAGTTATAACAACCACATATAATCATGATGGAATGGGTGAATATTCTCCCCCCCCCCTTTTTAAATTTAATTTATTGGGGTAATATTGGTTAATGATATATAATTCAGGTGTACAAAATCTTAATGCTGATGTTTTCCCACAGATCCATGAGTTATGCCTTTCTTATTCAAATCTCCAATAGCATCATTTTACTCTGAGTTTTCTCACAAAAAGCTCTGATGACACCAAAATTGACATCTGAAGCCAGATTTTTATACCTACTTACATGTGTTGATCTCTCCTATCATATACCCCCCTACCCATGTACACATATTTATTACCATGAGTTTATAGCCAAAATGGAAAGGAAAGGCAGCACTGAAAAATGACTCCATTGCCTAATCCTCAGCTCAAAGGCCAGCACAATTTCCCCATAGACTATAGTGTTCAGTCAGTAAAAACCTTATGCCATTGTAAAATGAAAGAAATATCCTGTCTCTGTCACCACACCCCATAGTTACACTCTTGTTCGCTTTAGCCCAGTAGGAAGAAGGTCTTTCTTCAAGGAAAGGGTTAACATAGAGGGGTCTATAAGGCACCTCTGCCTGCCATCAGCTAGCCCTCTACATCTGCAGATCGGTATTCAAGTTTCCTCTAGAAACTCACAAGCAACAAAGCAGAGATTGCTGAAAGGTTCTTCACCAAAAATGTTTGTTCTGTTTCAAATAACCCAGCATTGTTGCAGCACCATCATTATTTCTACTTAAAAATATTTGTATTGTCTAAGAAATTCCAGGAAATACATGGCCTTGTTAGCATAATCACGTAATTATAGTGACTGAGGTCTCCCTCCACCCAATTGCATATATTCCTCACTTAATCACTTTAATTCACTCTTTAAAGCCCCATCACTAAGTAAAAACTGTTAAATAAAAAGTTTTCAGTAAATTTATTAGAATAAATATGACTATTCCATCCCAACCTAAGTTACTCAGACCATTTCACAGGTAGAAAAATATAGCAAATTCATATAAGTTAAAAGCAACAATTTGAAAGTAAATGAATATGTTTTTGTCTATAAAATGTAATATTTTATAATGGAGGTTCACTATACTTGCCAAAGGAAGAGAAGCAGATTTGAGAGTGGTTAGCAATGGCTGGAGGAGAAGGGAGAGGTTGCCATTCTTGGTTAGTCATATGGTTCATATTCAAGCAGCAAACTTTTTGGAGCTCATGGTTATCCTATACTCAACCTGCACCCACAAATAAAGAATGGCACAGAAAAACACCTTTAGGGAAAAATAAAAACTAAAGTCGAGATAGCCATGAAACATACAGGAAGAAGGCTTAGCACAGCCAAGAGAAGGATGATGAAGATGGTACTATTCTCTCCCCCACAGCAGGAGACCACCACCTCATGCTTCCCAGGAGGTTCTCCCAAGTTTCATGTTAGCTGCTGAGCTCTGGATTCACCACCTCCCTCTCTTCTTTAGCTTTGCTGGTTCCTGGGAGGAAGTCAGTAGTAGCCCATGGATATATGCCATCTTGTAGGAGGGAACATGCATTCTTCCAGACCTATGGTTCACAGCATAAACATTATGCCCAAAGCCTGCACAGCTTAGTTTTTGAAACTCAAAAGTCCCACCTCTTCCAGTTCAAGAACCTTAAATTTGGCTTTGTGTACCTATGTTCCCAGGAAACATCAAGGGGAAAATTCATTAGTATCTCAAACTATGAAGCCACAATACACATCAGTATAAGCACATGCATATTGTCAACTATCCATTGTATGGTTTTAAAGGGGGAAAAAGATTATATACCACTACTGAAAGTTTCCCTTTGTTTTAGTTTGTGCTTTTCTTCCTCCAAAATCCTCATTTAGCCTATCAAGTATGAAAGACAGGGGTTTCTTTCTGCATTTTACTGACAGGGAAATGGGCAAGAAAAAAATAATGCTATTAAATAGTTCTCCCAAAATGCCAAAGACTGAATGCAAAAACTGTTTCAACCAGCCTTTTTATCTTCCTTCCAAAGAACTGTTGATTACTCACATTGTTTCCAATGAGAGAAATTTAGACTTCTTTCTTATCTTCAAAAATCCTAGCCTCACATTTTACAACTGAGTATAATTTTAAACATGCCAAATCTGGATCTAGTCAGAACTGCAAATACATCAAAATAACTGACAGAGTTAAAGCAGATGGTGATAGCAAACAACAAGAGCATTTCATTCACTTATTCGTTCCTCTGCTTCCGCAACAAACATTTACCGGAA